ATTATCGCGTCAAATAAAACAGATCGTAATCTTTGCGGCTGTCTCAATAAAATAACGAAAGAAAGTAAAGTGTCAAGTTTGATGAAAAAATGCGTGCGCTGATGCGTCGAGAGAATATACCGCGTTTTTGGTAGGGTTATCTCTGAAGTTAATTTACGTATTACTTAGCTCCATTCTAAGCGAAACCCTGCACTAAAAAGGCTCATTAGTCCAGCTCCAGCAGCTGTAAAAGGCTGTAGATGATGACTTCCATACTAAAACTCCAGTTGTTCCTTGGAATATATTCTTCTAACAAAACAATATTTCTNAGAGACGTCGTTAACGGTATGTTATTAATAGATATTAATGATGTTTGATTAATACTATGAATGATAATGGTAGTAAAAAATACATGCGACAAGCAGGATGGCAGTTTTGAGCTAGAATTCGGAAAACGGTCGCTTAGCGTGAAGTCATGCTAAGCTATTGCAAGTTAAGGATTTTCTACAGATGACTCTAAGTGAAAGACAGCTTGACACAACCATGGGTTCAATGGACATATTACGACGTATTCCCCGTTATGTAGAACCTTTAGGAAAGAACTATTTTAAACCATTTTCGCAAAAATTCCGTATACCCACTGAATTTGGGTTGAAACTGAAATTCTGATATTGTTTTTCTAAAAGCAACTTATTGTGTATGCACCAATATTTTATGCCTGAACAATGACTTTCATAAGCCCAGTTAATTACGTATCCATTTTCACAAAATAATCCCTTTGATGGACCAAAAACACTCACTGTTCATAAATTTTTAAAGCCGTATGAAAAATATACCAGCGATGACCCATTGGCACGGTTACAAAAACAACGCTTAATTACCGCGCTGCAATTAATTATTCTACGTTGTCACTGTGCTGTGTCAACAAAACCACAGTATACGGAGGCAGTGAGCGAGAGTGAGTGAGTGAGTGAGTGAGGAAGGAGAGAGTGAGTAGGTAAGTGAGAAAATAAATAAATAAAAAAATCTTTTGCCCACTTCTGTTTTGCTGTTTAGGTTTAGGAATACAAACCTTTATTAAATCTTTATAATTATGTGAGTTTCTTTATTACTTCATTTATAGATACTCTAAAATTCTAAATAAATAAATAACACATAAGTGTTTCATTAGTTACATGTATGTATGTTTTAGCTCATCGTAGTAGGTACAATTTTTTGGTATTGTATTTGAATATCATAAAAAATCTGTTAAGTCACTTATAGTGAAGTAAAAGAAGTGTTCTGTCTAATCTAAAATAATGGGAAAATTAATTTACTACATCTCATACTGCATTTTTTACACTGTGACCCGATTGAACCGTGGCGGTTGGTCCACGCACGAGATCTCGTTAACTACGCTCCGAATAATAAATATTAATAAGCTCGCATGCACCCATCGTGGCGTGAGCCACAGACTAATTACCCATGGTTTTTAGTAAACAGCGTAGAATTTGCATTGCCGCTCTTTTTCTAAATTCTTGCATATTTTTGTGGACATCCAAGGAAGTGTGAAAGTAGTTTTTAAATGCATGCGAATTTAACTTTACTTGTAGCAAAAGTATTAAAAGCCTTACCTACGTAGGTATCAAAGAAAAGTTTTTTACAGTTAATATTTTTTATCAATCAGTTTTCAACTTGATGTGCCTTGCCTTAGTCTTCACCTACGTATACTATTTAAGCTTGCAAAAGTGACGTAAGTTATGTAGCTTTTATGCCCTCTTTTGCTCTACCTGGTCGTTATAACAAAACTAGCTGTTGCCCGCGGCTTCACCCGCGTGAAATTTAGTTTGCCACAGATCGTCATAAATTATAACCTATGTTAACTGTTCTGGGTTATAAACAATAATACTGTGAAGTTTCATCAAAATCCATCCAGTGGTTTTTGCGTGAAAGAGTAACAAACATGTTAACATCCAGACATCCATACAAACTTACGCATTTATAATATTAGTAAGATTGAAACATCAAGATCGCTGGTGTCACGTAATATTTTATTTTTTGGATTTATTATAACAAATATCACGGTCATAAAGTAGAGTCGACATATAACGAGTGCAACTACAGACGATACACAGTTTTTAGCTGGATTACTCGTCTGTACATCAATTGATGTTAATATACGACTCGTTTAAAGAAATCCGACGCTTAATGAAGACGTTGGCAACATTGTAGCCGACGAAATTCCTCAAAATTATCGCGTCAAATAAAACAGATCGTAATCTTTGCGGCTGTCTCAATAAAATAACGAAAGAAAGTAAAGTGTCACGTTTGATGAAAAAATGCGTGCGCTGATGCGTCGAGAGAATATACCGCGGTTTTGGTAGGGTTATCGCTGAAATTAATTTACGTATTACTTAGCTCCATTCTAAGCGAGATTATGGCAAAACCCTGCACTAAAGTGAAAGAGATTCATAGTCCAGCAGCTGTAAAAGGCTTTTGATGATGATGATGACTTCCATACTAAAACTGCAGTTGTTCCTTGGAATATATTCTTCTAACAAAACTATATTTCTGGCTCAGAATATCTTCCGGACAAAACGTAGTGTATTAAAAGTCATAAACTATTCAAACACAGGTGCAGTAGTCACCAAGGAATATTACGTCTACCATCTTGGCAAAGAATGATAGATCTTTCCATAGCTGTATGTAGATTTCATATGCAATAACATTAGATGTAATTGTATCTAACTTAAAAGAGAATTTTTGCCGTGCTCAGTCTCAGCGTATTTTTTTATGCAAGAGCGACATAAAAAAAACTAATTTGTTTCAGACTTGACATCCCTAACCACAGTGGTCATGGACATGCGACATCTGAACACAATGTCTGAAATGCGGTAGGGACACGTACGCTACACTAGAAGAAAATTATAATACTGAGTATGTAGAGTTCTATATTTAAAAGCTATCAAGCTTGTTACATGCACGCGTGTCTTTGGTTAACATGAGAATATTAAGGGTGGTGTAATATCTTTGACAGTAATAATGACGATAACCGGTGCTTTTTGTATGGAGTTTGACAGATTTTTGACGTTTGTCAAAGTTAAAGTAAGATGGTGCAACCAAGCCTTAGTGTAGCTTCAAGCTTTCACATTTGAAATCTATGCAAAGTATAAATAAATTACTTTTAAAAACAATCGAAGTAAAATCATACCATTTGGATCAAACTAGTAATTTGGATGGATAGTAATGTCGAAAAGCGTCTGAAAAGTTGTTAAATGCTTTTATGATTTACTTGTTGATCATCATTTATATTTTTGACAGTAGGTACAACATCCGACACAGATGCTATTATTTGTTACAAAATAGAACCGACACCATAGTANTCATAGTATTTACGTTCTTATGCAGTTTTTGGCTAAATAATTGAAATAATTTAAAATTTTACAGCAATTTGAATTGCATAAGATTGGGCGGCGCTTCTCCAACCACCTCAGCTGTGCCTCATGAAATATGCAGCGCTGCATTAGCTGGAAAGCGCGGCACAACAATAGTTATAACGCGGATTATTTGTTGCCCCGCTTTGCATATTGCAGCGCTTTTTTGCCCACGGTGTTTTTACAAAAGGGCGCGCGCTTCCCATGAAAAGGTGAATTTTTCCCGGGTTTTTGTGTCGGATGGCGTACTACTGAGTCATGGCGCGTGTATGGTAATTTTATTGTTAGTTTTATGGCGTGAAATGGCTACTCATATAGAACCAATAAAACATTTTATGCGTATCCATACATGATTGGTTGTAACATAATAGTTTCTGATACGTGAAGTTCATAATAGATAATGTTTTGTCGACGCATCATAAGCGTGGTATATCTATCTACCCATACGTCGTTTAAGATGCATTCACACGTATGTATCAGCACATAAATTCCACAAAAACTCTAATTCTACTAACATCTAGGTCGAAGTATCACTTCACGCGTAAAAGAAAAAACCAAAATAATCTATGAAGCGTATGGAACCGACAACTTCATCAACACAACAAGAAGTATAACGTGCAATAATGGGTATTAATAAAAATAATTTTCACCTCCACTCAGACACCTGCCAAACGCTCGGCTTGACACATCTTGGAAACGAACTACCTGACTGCATCCATCAAAGATTATGAAGCAGAAAATCGTGTGGACGCACGACCACTTACCGTGATACGGGACGCTTCAGTATAACTACCGCGCTTTATAAATTCTATTAGCCAAGACATAAGTAGCGCACTTATAAAGCCTATTAAGATCCGAGACACATAGACTGCTTGGTGCTTGGATATTTTTATTCGTATTGCTGTAATAGACTAAGAGCTAGTGAACGCCAGACCTACGTCATTTTATAAAAGCTGAAAGTTTGTCAGCGTATACTTACTCCCAATATAGGATAGAATGTTGGTGAATCATGAAGTTTGGGTCATCGTGGCTTTGGCAGCGATCCTAAAAAAACTGTCTGGCACGGAGTTGGAACTGACAAAACTGTATGTCTGATGAGGAAACTACTTCTAATTATTGCCCTAATCTTCTTCTATATAAATAAAAATGAATTTATGTTCGTTAGTCTGATTAAAACTGGAGAACGGCTGGGCCGATTGAGCCGATTTTGGTTTTAAAATGTTTGTCGTAGTCCAGGGTAGGTCTAAACGGTGAGCAAACACGCGCGCGATATTGTTTTTCTGGTACAGACAAAATTCCACGCGGGCGAAGCCGCGGGCGGAAAGCTAGTATTTTATATAAAAATCAACTTTTAAGTAAGTGTGTCCTTATTTTAATTGTAACAAAGACGTGTTACGAACTTTTTGGATGTCACAAACTATTTGATGCTGGCTGTACTTACTTCAAGACACCTTGAAAAAGAGGCAGATAGTGACTGAGTTTTTCGTGCTGTTCCTTCTCAGCACTGGCCCATTTATTGTCCCAAAGCAGTGGTAGGGTTAAAGTAATATTAAAACTAAACGCTGTACCATCGTCTGTATTCACTATACTATAACTAATATTACATACCGGGGGCGCGGGCGGCATGCATATGTCGATCCCGGGCGCTCGCGGCGCATCACCGCACATGCAGCGCCTGTCTCCACGCACACCCTGCAACAAAATAATACTTTTTAATATACAAATATAAAATTTAACTAAGGAGAAAAGATGTGATTGTGCTGAAAACACAATTTCAGGCCTCCCATTCGGTGGAACGCCGATTTGGTGAAGGTCGCGGAAAGCACCTGGATGCGGGAAGCGCAGGACCGATCGTTGTTGAAATCGAAATTTGAATCAATGTCTAGCAGTGGACGTCTTTTGGCTGAAATGATTATGATAATGAAGTATACTATGTTATCCGAGATGGGTACTTCACTGAGTGAGTTTTCGGGATTAAAATTAAATGAATTTTAAAGAAATAGCTGTCTGTTTCAATCAACTATCCATTTACTATTGAAATGTTATGCAAAAAGGTCCTTCTACATAGGTACAACATCCCTATAGAAATAGGTCATTATCCACACTNACCACACCACATTGTAAATAAGTAGTTACTTGTCATTTCACCAATAGACGAATGAATCATAGACATATTGAAGTAGGTAGGTATCATTACAAAAACTGCCAGCTATTTACACATTACGCAATCCTCCGTTTTTGGACGAACGGGACCGAACGCTGTGCCACTTTGGTGACAATACAGACCACAGCCCATCAAGCTTAACACTGGGGTGTCTTATGACAATGCAATAGGTGTCATTTTAGAACAAAAATGTACAGTCTGATGCGAGATTGTATGTAGACGCGCAAAAACTGCGAGCATTCGAAACTCGCTTGTGTGAAAATTGTGTTTACTATTGATTGCTAATTGATAAGTCAGCTTTTAAATAAGATAGCAAAATGCAGACTATTTTTTGAATCCTTTATAAATAGACGACAAACGCATAGCATAAAACTTTACAACACTCAAAAGTCGCAATTCTTAATGTTTTATGCTAACAACTTTTTGCGGTGTTGACAATATGCCGTTGGAAATAAATAAATAATATGAAACCTAAGTACTTTGTAATTAAATATACAGTGTGAGTCACGTTAAAGTGTACATATGAAAATAGATGAAACTAGACCTATTTTTATCGACAAAAAAGAGGTCAAAAAATTTTTGAGATTTTTTTTTAATTTTTTATAGAAATTTTTTTCTTCCAATTACTTATTGTAAAGAAAACGTAATAACTTTTAAACTAAGCGGTATATCTTGATAAAATAAAAACAGTAATAATGCAAAATAACAAGCGATACTAAAATAATACATAAAATACACAAAAAATGCCAACAAATAATAAAAAATGATACTTTTTGAAAAAAATCTGCTTAAAAATTCGTGTTTTTTTGGTTATTTGATAAATATCTCCAAAAAATGCCCCTATAACCGGTGGTTTTTATTACTTTCTATTATTCTCTATCGTATTATCTTTGTAAAACCAAAAATCGCATGTCTCTATCCCTATCACAACATTTGCTATGATCGTTTGAACAAAGGCCTGCCACAACATTATTTTCCGCAACAGGTAGAGACAATTTTAATTTTAACTAAAATGCTTATTTTACTTCGAAATCTTTTGTTTTTATTTGAAATCTAACTTGTCTTTATCAAAATTACAAATCTAGAGCCATTTTCAGTTTTGTTGTTAACGAAGCGTTGAATGGCGCGCCCGGAGAGGCTTAGTTCAAACGATCATTGCAAACGTTGTGATAGGGATAGAGACATGCGATTTTTGGTTTTACGAAGGTAATACGATAGAGAATAATAAAAAGTAATAAAAACTACCGGTTATAGGGGTATTTTTTGGAGAAATTTATCAAATAACCAAAAAAACACGAATTTTTAAGCAGATTTTTTTCAAAAAGTATAATTTTTTATTATTTGTTGGCCTTTTTTGTGTATTTTATGTATTTTTTTAGTATCGCCTGTTATTTAGCATTATTACTGTTTTTATTTTATCAAGATATACCGCTTAATTTAAAAGTTATTACGTTTTCTTTACAATAAGTAATTGGAAGAAAAAAAATTCTATAAAAAATTTTAAAAAAATCTCTAAAATTTTTTGACCTCTTTTTTGTCGATAAAAATAGGTCTAGTTTCACATATTTTCATATGTACACTTTAACGTGACTCACACTGTATAACAAATTTTAACCAATTTAAACTGACGCTTGAAATATTATAAAATCATACAAACATATCAGCTACGAGTAATCTTTCATACGCTACAAAACAAGAAAATCGAAAAAAATCAAACCAACGCTACCGCAAGAACTTCACGTTACAAAAATAGTAAAAATTAAACGCACACGCACTTCAGAGCCCCAACTGTCTCGAGTTGCGATATATAAACAAAAGTGAAATGTACAGACAACCGCACTTAAACTACACACTGTGGCCTCTTAAATCGTTGTAGCAAGGGTGAATTTGCCATAAAAATTTATAGTCTTACGTGCGGTCTACTGTACAAAAGTGGAGTAGATTTCTACAATCGGCAACCGCACTGTCCATGATTAGCAGCAGCTATCCACGTTATTTATTAGTGCCAGTTTCCATTGTTTATTGCTCGTAAGACTGACGTAAAATCGGTGTTTCTAGCGAAATATTTTCGTATGTAAACGTATGGAAAGCGATGCATTAGATCTGCCGCCTCGTAGATTCGTTGATGCGTTAAGTTTTTAAGTAAGGCAAGATTTGGTACCACTGAAAAGTGATTTCCTTCACTTATGTACACATTCTTACTTTGAACCGTGTATAAACACACTACAAAATATCAAAAAGCTAGATTTTTTACTTGGATATGTCTGAGTGCATCTCAATTACACCCGTACACAAAAAATCGTTTTCGATTAGATTTTAATCGCTTCGCAATGCTCCCAAGTTCACTCAGTATTATGTGTGTGCAACATAACAAACCCATTTATAACATCTAGAGGCACCGATTACTTTTAGTGCTGACAGTCTAAGTAGTAAGACATGGAAATCAATCATATCAAATTATTGTGATATCTTGGAAAAATACATAACAAGTAAATTACAACTTATAAATTAATATTTAGACAAAATTACGTCTTCCCGCTCAACAACTGTCATAATTCAGTACTTCTCAACTTTTTTTCATTGGGGCCGCAAAGACAATAAACATAATTCTTCAAACTATTAACCAAGTCGAAAATTAAACACAATTTTTGAACTACCAACCAGCTTGCGAGCCGCAAGTTGAGCATGGCTGAAATAATGGAAACGAGCGATAATAATATCTGCTGCCAAACGTAAAATTAGAAGCTGACAAAAAACACGTCCAGGTGGAAAGTAGTTACAATAATTTCTCCTAATGATTGCAATTGCGTTTTTTGCTGTACCGGGGATGAAAACACGTTTGATACTTTACGAGGTAGTTGGAAAAAACGGTGATATTATTTATTAAATAATGTAAAAGTCAGCAATTTATTTTTCAGAGGTAAGAAAAACGGTGTATGCTAGCTATAAATATTACATTTTATTTATTGTTTTAGGTATGTAAATAGTAACGTATTGTTCTAGTTGATTATATTCTTTTAACGAGTTATCAAAAAAACAAGATGAAGTACGACTGCATGTAGTAAAGCTTAATATTTTCGCTTGTTGTAATACGACTAAGAACGATTTTTCAGCAAAAAATTAAAGTGCTGTCCTAAAAGCACCATATTATACTTAGTTCGTGTGTTTACATGAAAGATAATAAAACAATGACATTATTACACACATTATAAGTAATTTCGTTTCAGCCAAATGACGTCTACTGCAGGACAAGTGATTACTGTAAATAATTGAGATATCCCCTATCTTCTATAACTTATGTCTGTGGTTACAGTGCATTTGAGATATTGATGACAGATTAGTTAGTTCCACTCCAAATAGTCATATCTTTGGACATCTTTGGACAATTTCACACAGCGCCAGCTAGCCCCAAAGTAAGCAACTTAATGCTTGTGTTATGGGTGCTAGCTTAACGGATATACTTCTTATATACTTTTTTTTTTTAAATACATAAATATTATACATAGTCACACCCAGACCCGTCACAGAAATTAAAATTCATCATTTCAATTTCTGCCCGGCCGGGAATCAAACCCGGGACCTCTCGGCATAGTAGTCTGTTCTGAACCACTAGGCCAAACGGCCGACAAATCGTGCCATAAGATTTCGCATCTCACATCTCATATTCTCACTAATTCAATCGGAATCGAACTGCAGACTTCGCCTGACTAACTGTAAGGCCCGGTTTACACCAAGACGGAGAATTTTTTTTAATAACCAATCAGATTCCATTAATAGCACATCTCTACTCCGCTCCTCTAAGGTGAAAATGGATCAAGCGGAGAAGTATCGGGCGAACTTGTTTTTCTATAGAATTTGACAATGGCGAGGCCGCCCGGTGCGGAGATGAGCGGAATGGTGCGGAGATGTACGGAGCGAGTATTTCATAGATAGCATAGACTGACAGCTGACAGCTACGCACAGTCCACACATCTTCTCTCGTCTCCGCACTATTCCGCTCTTCTCCGCTCCGCTTTCGTGGAAATAGCCTGCCAGCTTCCCCGCACATATCCTCTCCTCTCCGCACCTCTCCGGCTTGGTGGAAACCGAGCCTAACTGTACGCGATCATTAGGCGCGCGTCACCCGTCCGCTCCGCGCCCGCGCAGCGAAGAAATCCGCTGACATCTGACGGTTAGCGTTTCAATTGGTATTTTTTAGCAATTTTTTCAAAGAAAAAGTCGTGCGTGTGCGCAAATAATTGAAATCTAATCTTTATTTCTATATCTCTGCTAATATGATAAAATGTTTTTATGTTTGTGATCATTGGAACTGCTCGACCGATGGATGTTCCGCTGATAGAAAGTTACATTCCTTAATGCCATTGATACTTAGATAAATATAATGGTTGTTTTCTTTGAAGAGAATTTTTGATATTTTATTTACTCAACGTGAACTGGCTGTTACTAATAACAAGAACATAAGCAAAGATTAAGTTACAAAGTATTGAATAATAATTACTAATATTTTTTTTTTTTTTATGCTAGCCAA